GAACCCTTAGATCGTTTCAAATTTCTTACTATACATGGTGGCAGAATGAGAATATGGTTTATGCCAAAACGCTGCTGCAGTATAATTAGAACTCTTTTCTGAAAGTAGAATCTCTGAACCGGGGATACCGCAAACACAAAACGACCTCATGAATGGACAGGAGGAGTCCCCCCACCCCCGCACCTTCCCCCCACATTACATTACATTAGGGAAACAATTGTTGGAAATTAGGAACGATTGTACAGGGGGAGGGGAAAGACGTCACATCAACATTTTGGATACACCTGCCAGTCTTGCGATCTAGGGCCGCTAAACAGCCGTAACCCCGCGCCTCCGCCGGCGTGTTTTCAGCTTTTGTTGCTCTCAGTTCCTTGTTTTAATTTTTGAATGAGCATGACTGTAAGAAAAACAGCTTTCTGCACATTTACATTGATCTCTTAGTGTATGAGCACCCTTACAGTTCCGAATAAACATTATCCGTAATAAACACGGCATGTAACATAGATAGTCATCAGCTTGGGGATTTGCTTGTTTCGTGGCATGTCTTGGAGTATGGAACAAAAAGGATGAATTAGAGAAAGGAGCTTTGAGACTCACCTCTGACCCTCATTTTGCCTGGCGTGTCTGAGCTTTGGTTTCTGCAGCCTGAAGTCAGTGTCACCTGAATGAAACCTGCCTCTCCACGTGGGCGCGGATGGCGGAGCCCCCACTCTAAGGGATGGCAGTCTGGTAGGAAATATCGCCGACAGACCTTCAGAACCCTGATAAGACGTTTGAGCCAAATCAAAGGAGGTGGGAGAGGTTCATTCTTCCCTCTTCTCTCATTCTCAGATTGTCTTCCAGGAGGGGCAGAAGCTCCTGAACTAACTCCTCCTCCTCCTCTGCCTGGCCCCACCCACTCTGCCTGGCCCCACCCCCACTGCCTGGCCCCCACCCCTCTGCCTGGCCCCACCTCCTCTGCCTGGCCTCACCTCCTCTGTCTGGCCCCACCCCCGTTGCTTGGCCCCACCCCCTCTGTCTCTCTAGCCCCACCCCTGCTGCCTGGCCCCACCTCCTCTGTATGGCCCCACCGCCTCTGCCTGGCCCCACCCCTTCTGTCTGGCCTCACGCCCCCCCCCACCCCCGCTGCCTGGCCCCTCCCCCTTCCTGGCTCAGCCTGGGCAGCTCTCCTGCGGGCTCCCTCCCTGCCAAGCCTCCAGCCACAAGCTGCTCTCATGGCTCCGTCTCCTCTCTGAAGCATCATCTGCTCCACCTGGGTCCTGGCGAACAAATGCCTCACCTCCCATCGCCACTAGTTACTACATCTTCACTCCTCACCAGAGGAAGCCCAGTACCTCTCCAAGCTACTCAGGGCAGCCCAACCCACCCCTGTCCTCTCCTTCTGGGTGGAGTGGGGTGCCCCGAGGGGGTGCCCTGAGGGGGTGCCGGGCCTACGGTGGTCAGGCAGACCACGAGTTCTGAGGAAGCTGTCCATTCTCACATGTAGTATGTTTTATGAAGAAGAGGAAGAAGCACAGATTCCAATGAAAGCGGAGCAATCAGCTCTCAGACGCCCCCTGACACCACACCCAACACTGTGAGGCTGTGCCGGAGGGGGGGACCTTTCAAAGCGGCTAGTGAATTTGTCCTGCCCATGCTGAGGTCTGTGAGCTCGGGTGGCCCACTTCCTGCCCGTGCTGAGGTCTGTGAGCTCAGGTGGCCCGCTGTCCTGCCCATGCTGGGGTCTGTGAGCTCAGGTGGCCCCTGTCCTGCCCGTGCTGAGGTCTGTGAGCTCAGGTGGCCCGCTGTCCTGCCCGTGCTGAGGTCTGTGAGCTCAGGTGGCCCGCTGTCCTGCCCATGCTGGGGTCTGTGAGCTCAGGTGGCCCCTGTCCTGCCCGTGCTGGGGTCTGTGAGCTCAGGTGGCCCCTGTCCTGCCCGTCCGGCTTTTCCCAGACCACCCTCTCCAGCCATGAGCTTCAAGTGGCTCTTGAGTTTGTGATGAAATGCAAGGTGTTGTCACCCATAAGTCACACTCTCTTGGGTCTAAAATCTGACTTTCAACCAAAAGAAAACCAAAAGGCCACTGTGTTCAGTCAGTGCCCAGTGTCACATTCAAAGAAAGTATGTCAGAAAGCAATTTGAACCCTTTCTTGGTCTTTCAAGAAAACGAGGAAGCAAGAGGGAGGAAGGGAGAGATATTCTCTTTTTTTTTAATCTTTACTGTTGAAAGTATTACATGTGTCCCCCTTCTCCCCATTGACCTCTCCCAGCCCGCCCCTGCCCCCCACCCCAGGCCTTCGCCACCCTATTGTCTGTGTCCATGGGTTACGCATATATGCATACAAGTTCATTGGTGGATCTCTTCCCACCCACCCACCCACCCTACCCCCCCTTTTCTCTGAGGTTTGACAGTCTGTTCAGGAGAGATATTCTTAATTCATGGCCACAATGCAGCTACACAAATCACAGGGCAAAACTGGCCTTCCTTTCTCTGAGAGGCAAGCTCACGCAGACCAGTACTGTTCAATATGGCGGCCACTAATCGAGTGGCCATGGAGCCTTGGAAATGTGGCAAGTCCAAGCTAAGGTGTGCTACGAGTGTGAAATACACACTAGACTTTAAAGACTGAGGAAGGAAAAATATATAAAGTATCTAATTAATCATGTTAATAATTTTAATTGATCACATACTGCTTTAAATACAATATAATGTGACTATAGAAAATGTTCACTTACATACGTGGCTTGCATTATGGTTGTATTGGACAGCACTAATGTAGACAATCCAATTTCAAAAATGAAGGTAATTTGAATAAGTTGGGGCTCATGGGGCTAATAAATAGCACCTCCTTTCCTCCCATCCAAGTTTAGATCCAATGATGATGTGGACCAGGAGACGGGCAGGTGGAGGGAAAAGTACCCACTTGATTAAAGTTGTGGAGGGAAGCGGCTTTGGGTTGAGCAAGTTGGCTGCTAATACTTCACTCCTGAACCAGACGGCCCTCGCCCCCTGCCACACGCAATACGGGACGATGTCAGGCCAGCCTCGCAGCTTGGGAGCACAGCACCCTGGGTGCTCACAGAAGGCCAGCGGGTCCAAGTCAATGTCAGTTCCTTCCGGCCAACTTGCCCGCCATGAAAGCTGCCCATGCTCCCTTGGAGTTGGTCAGCAAGAGCACGGAGAGAGGCCAGGAGTGTGCTTGGACGAAATCCCTCCACATGGAGACAGGAGTAGGAAGTAAGTGATCCTTTTGTGCTTCCTAACCTTCGTTTAATAATGCATTGACCTTTAAGTCCCTGGTCAGCAGGGGGCAATCAACCATCTGGCAGAACAGCTCTGCTCTCAGCTTGACCCAATCGCTGGTCAGTGCCAGTCACTTCTGCGGTCGGAATTGTCCTGGGTCTGCTGATGGGCAGCGAAAATTTGCCACCAAGAAGTTT